TAAAAAATCCTGTAAAACTGTCCATCGAGGCTTTGAGTTGACTTTAACAACAAAAAAACCTCTTGAAGGCGCTAATAGTTTGTAATGCGTCCCCTTTTCCATTTTCCTGAAATGCACCATTTCTGCTTCAGGCTCCGGGTGAGATGATAAAAATCTGCATGGAGATTTAAAATAAAGCCGTTTTCGTCACGTAACTCTGATCCTCGTCCACCTGCGGGGTTTTTCTCTCTGACTTCCTGCAGATTTTGATAAGCGGGTCAACGACAACAAGACCGCCGCAGAGGAAGCCTTGAAGAAGATCCCCATCATCAACGCCACTATCATGGCCGCCAACGAGAAGACCAGGCAGGCGGAGGAGGCGCTGGGCAACGCTGCCGTCGATGCTCGAGAGGCAAAGAGCAAGGCGGAGGACGCCGAGAGGATAGCCAGTAATGTGCAGAAGGTAAAGCGGCGGCTCGTCATTGGCCTGTGTCAGCTCGCCGGTTTCTCTCCTCTCACTGTGATTAAACTCGTGTCCTCGCAGGGCTCCGCCAAGACCAAAGAGGAGGCGGAAAAAGCCTTCCAGGACACCACCAATCTCGACAACGAGGTCAACGACTTGATGACACAGCTGACCAACGCCGAGAAGGAGCTCAAGGAGAAGAAGACCCAGGCTGACCAGGACATGATGACAGCGGCGATGGTACGACTCGCTCGTCACTGAACTCTCAGACTCTTTCTCCGGACATTATAAAAAGTTTAACATCCGTGTTCCTGTCCTCAGGCTTCAAACAGTGCAAAGGACGCCGAGGATAACGCCCGCAAAGCGAAGAGTACAGTGAAGACGGTCCTGAAGGTCATCACGGACCTGATGAACCAGCTCGGTAAGAACACCAGTCGAGCTGCAGCACCTGAACTTCTGAGAATGACTCGTTTCTTCGGGGGAAACCATAACGCTGCTTTTTTAATTAAAGAACTGAGCGATTGACGGGGAAACTAACTGTGGTTTTGTTTCGTGTGCAGGAAACATCGATAAGATCGACCTGAGCAAACTGAATGAGATCGACGAGTCGCTGAAGAAGGCCAAGGGCGAGATGGACAAAAGCGACCTGGAGAACAAGCTTAAGGAGCTGAACAACGTGGCGCAGACTCAGGAGGCGATGATCAACGACTACGACCGGCAGATCCGCGAGATCCGCGCCGACATCGCCAACCTCAACGACATCAAGAACACATTACCCGAAGGCTGCTTTAACACGCAGTCCCTGGAGAATCCTTAACCCTAACCCCGCCCTTCTCTTCCTCTAGCCCCGCCCCTTGCCCCACACTCACATCTAACACTCCGGCGAGCACGCCGCCTTTTACCAAAAACACTTTTTGTTTCAGATTTTTTTTTCTTTGACGAGACAGAAGCCGACGTGTGAAACCGTGATCACGTTTTCAGCCGCTGAGAAGCAGCTGGTTTTTTTTTTTCCCGAGACGCAGGGGCGTGGTTACGCTCGAACGAACTAAACGGCGTCGAGAAGCCGTGCAGAGGAACCAGAACCACAAACCCGACGTGACTGCAGCCGTCTGCTCCACAGCAGGAAGTTTGAGCGACGCAGGAAGCTCTGCCCGCATTTCTGTTTACTGTGTCCCACCAGCCATTTCCCATCATGCCCAGGGGCGTCCGCTCACTGAACGCCACTGCCTCCTCTAACCGGCAAACACAGTGAAGGAACCCTCGCTTTTCCTCTGAAGCTACGTGCCCATGCAAACAGCAGGAGACCTCCTCATCCTGCACCTCCTCCGACAGTGTTTTCTCCTCCAAACAGGTTAAAGATGCAAACTCGGCCGCTCCGCGACGAACCGCAGAAATCCAAAAACATTTCAAAACTAAACTCGTTTCTAGACGACGCATCGCGATGATATCAAGATTTCTCGTCAAGCTTGCAAAAAATTAAAAATGTAAAACTTGGAATATTGAGCCTGAAGATGTAAAGCCGGGAGATTCTCTCGAGTTACGAAGGTAAAATGAAAGCGCCGTCATGACTGTGAGAGATGTGAGATTCAGGATGTTGTTAAAAAGATAAAATGCCGAGTTAGCGTTTTTACCCAGAATGGCTCTAAAACGCTGATTTCTTTCTTGCAATGAGATGAAATCTCGATGTTATTTCGATGTTCTTGACGATTTCCTGTCGCAAGACGATCTGGGAGAGCGACGCGAGCATTGCTGCTCCTCGGTGTCGATAAGCTGTCGCGGGTGTTTGGCAGGAAGTCTTTTCAGTTTTGTGTTTTCGGGGCTTTTCCTGCTTCGTCTTCGGCGCGCTCTCCACGCTTCAACGCTCCCGTCTGGACTGTCACGCGTTAACGCTTCGCTCCAGGCTCGATCCAACACTATGCAACTTTGTACATTTTGCGTAGCGAGAGTTTTATCTGATACACTGGTGCTAATAATAATTATTTCAAATGTTCTATTTTTGTGTGAATGTTTTTTATTATTCTGACACAGAGTGAGGAACTTTTGTCGTGTGTAAATATCTGATGATTCAGGACGGGCTGATTTTCTCCACCCTGCAAACAGCCTCCATCACAATCAATCAACGGGAACCTCCAGCATAAATATCTATAAATATGAATATCTCATCACATGTGCCTAGTTATTATTATTATTATTATTATTATTATTATTATTATTATCATGCTTGCTTGTATACAAGGCTCCGTGTTGCTGCCTCATAGCGACACCATTACGTTTGTGTTTTTGATTCTCGTGTTTGTTTTCACCCTCTCACCAATCAGGTTGTTTTTTGAGTGGGCGTGGCCTGCCTCACCAGTCATTTCACTGAATGGAGTTAACAAGTCACATGTGGCTAAAGTAGCTTTTAATTAGTGTTTTTGTGCCTTAATATTAAAGTTCCTGCGAGGGCGTCCATGCTTTCATTTTGTCCTCGTGTCGGTACTGAAGCAGGTTTTTCTTTTTGTTGTTTAAAAATCAGGTCCCAAACAGAATTTAAAATGCCACTAGACTATTGGGCTTTTATTTTGAAACCCCCTCCCCTGACCAATGCTGGGGAGGCTTTTGTCTGTTTTTATTTCCCTCCTCCATCCATTCGGCCGCTCTGCAGGTGGTGCAGCTCACGTGATGTATAAACAGTATTTTAAGTTATAATGAACCGCTTATTCGTTTTGCACCGCCCCCCACGTCGCCTCAGACGGTGATGTGCGAGCTGCGCGGCGTGCAGGGCCGCACGTCTGCAGCCCTGTGAGGACCTGAACCACCCGAGTGTTTGTTCTTGTTTGTGCCCACGTGCTTGTAAATCCAAACGTAACATTTGAATAATAAATAAATTCCTACAGTTTGTCCGCGTGTGCTCCTGTTTTCTCAGCAGACTGTAACACAAAGATGGACGTAAACGCCACAGAGCCTTAGCGCTAGTGTTACAACGGCTGCCATGCTGGTTTCCTGGAGACATGACGGAGACACATTTGGAAGATCGGGTCCCAACACCACAAAGACGGTCCAGGGGTCGGGTTAGCTTAAGTGAAGCCCAGCAGACAGCTAGCGGCTCCACCCACCTCTGTCACCATCCACCTGCTGGTCAAAGAGGCCACGCCTCTAATAATGCAAACCTTAAGCCTTAATAAATGTAAACAGGTGAGCTGTAAGAACATCCTCCCCCTGTACAGGTGTTAACTGTAAACATTTTAACATGGAGCCTCCAGTGGACGTTAGAGGAACTGCAGGGTTAGCTTTTACTTTTGTTTTTATAAGACTGAAAATTGGAAAACTCCGGGAACTAAAGAGGGAATAACTACATGCATGTTTCCATCCGTGGCCTTTTCCTCCTAAACAGAGTGTTTGAGTCCCTGCGCACACCAAATGTTTGACGCGTTTTCTGTTGCCAACTCTTGTCATCCAGACCAACCACGCAAAAGTTAACCGCCGACGTCCTGAGGTCATGAAACCGAACACGAAGGGCCGAGCAGGTGAACTCCTCAAGCGACACCTGAAAACATCTGGACTGCTGCTGTGTGAAAGCTCCTGTATCAACTTTATTTAAACCTTTTTTGTGCATCAAAAGATTCCTGAATATAAAATATACAAAGTGATGTCTTATTTGTTGAAAAGGTCAGAGGTCACTGCATTCATTTTTTATATTTCACACAAAATCCCAACATTTAAATAAAACAAAATATTAATATCAGTTCTGATCAGACTGACACCATATTTACTCTGGTTCCCTTTGAACACAGATCAAAGCAAATCCCATGAAAATAAAGTTTTATTGGGTCTCAAACTTCTGCATCGCCTTTAATAAAAACTAAAATGAGAGGAAACTGACACGTGACCTGTGTGTCTGTGCTGTTTTTGAATCTTGTCTTTTGAGAAATGTTTAAAACGATCACTTAGGAACAGCAGCGAGGAACTTGTTTACGTCCCGTGGATGTTTCATTCTTTCAGTGTAAATTTTAAAGGAATTTTTAAGCTAAAATGTAAAACCTGAGTCAAAAAGTTCTTCTGGCATTCAAAAGAAAACTTTCATGGAAAAATCTGATGTCATCAACCAAATCCTGTCAGAATTAACAGGAGTACAAAACTGAATCTTCTTCTTGTCTAAAGGTTTAGAAAGTGTGAATGTTAAAGATTTTAAACTCTTTTGAGCTGAGATTTTTATTGAGCATGAGCTCTCAGTCCGGCCTGCAGTACCTTCAGGGCCCACCAGAGGGCCATGACACACAGTCTGGGCCTCACTGATCCAGAGAGCGTGAAGAAGTGTTTCTGCAGGTGAACCGTGAGCCGCGGTCTGCAGACACCACGCAGGTCTTTATCATCATGAGACTGCGCGGAGGTTTAAAAGTGCACCAGGTGTGAATGCGGCCTCCAGAACTTTAACAGGAAATAAGTCACGGCCGTATCGTCTGCGGCGTCCTCGAGCCCATGTGACCTCGTTCCACTTTTGGGCTCTCATTGGTCCGTAACTGACAGCGAATGGCGGTCGACCCCGCAGCGCCTGATAAATAATCCAGATTATAAAATGAAAAAAAAAAAGTCCTGATTCACGGAGTGGCACCACCACCCAATCTGTGGTAAAAACAGGAAGTGTGATTTCCGCCCACAGTCCTCGCCACCCGTCAGGACGCCGCACTCTCACCGTGGTTTTTCATGTGGCGCCGCAGCGTGTACATGTCGCTGAAGCAGCGGTTGCAGTGGCTGCAGCAGTACGGCCGCTCCTCTGTGTGGTGCTTCATATGGTGTTTAAGTGGCGTGCTGAGAGCGAAGCCCCTCCCGCACACGGGGCAGGTGTAGGGCTTCTCGCCCGTGTGCGTCCTCATGTGGATCTTCATGTCCGAGCTGGCCGTGAAGCTCCTCCCACACATGCGGCAGCTGTAGGGTTTCTCCCCGGTGTGCGTGCGGGCGTGGCGGATCATGGAGGAGGTGATGTTGAAGCCCTTCCCACAGATGGTGCAGTGGTACGGCTTCTCGCCAGTGTGCGTCCTCATGTGAATCTCCATGTTGTTCTTGCGGGTGAATCGCTTCCCGCACAGCCGGCAGCTGAAAGGCTTCTCGCCCGTGTGGCTGCGTGTGTGCACCTTCAGCTCCACCCGCCGCTGGAAGCTTTTCCCACAAAACTTGCAGACGTGGCTCTTCAGGTGTGTCCGTAGGTGCTCCAGCAGGCATTGCCGGTCAGCCTGCGGCTCGCCGCACACGCTGCAGAGGCAGCACTCGGCGGCGGCGTGAGTCTCGGCGTGGTTCAGCAGAGAGCCCCGGTAGCTGAACTTCATCCCGCAAACTTTACAGCTGCAGGAAGTCCCACCTCCTCCACCGCCTTCACCAACAGCAGGAGCACCATGCGGAGGAGGAGCAACGGGCTCCTCACAGGAAGTGCTCGGCTGGGCTTCGTCTTTCATTATCTCCACCATCTGAGCCTCCTCCTCCTCAGGCAGCTCAAGCTTGAATGGTTTAACATCCTCCTCTGCTGCCTGAGGAGCGACCCACACCTCCTCCTGCTGCTCCTGCTTGATGGTCGGCGGCTCAGACTCCTGGAGGTGCTGAGTGTCTGCAGAGGACGAGAGCGTGTTTTTTTAAATTTCTGGAGAATATTTGAAACGTTAAAAAGATTCTTGAGCTTAAAGAAAACAAACAGAACCACAAACTGCAGAAAACAAATCGACGAGACGTAAACGTGACCAGGAGTCACGGCGACAGGGGTCACGAGAGGCGGAGTCAGGGCGAGAGGACAAGCTGTTCACCCATCCCAGGGTTAACTCCGGGTGTTCGGGGTTACAAAGGCGCTTGGCTTCTGACTGGGGCACATCACCATGGTAACCGATGCAGCTTTGGCCTGTACCTACTGAGCGCAGACACTCGGCAGCACGCCGTGATGCTGCATCCAGTGTTTTTAGGCTCGGCCTGACCTCTCACCTGAAACACCGTGAATCAGGGGTCTAAACAGAACGTGACTGCATGCTGAAGCGGCAGTTTAGCCATTTGATTCATGTCACAGCAGCTCATTAGTGAATGAACATGGTGCAATAAATGTATTGTCAGAAGGACATTTTTCCAAACACTTGAATTTTCTTGCATTTACTTGAGTGGGGTTAGGGGTCGCCACTTCAGCATGCAGTCAAGTTCTGTACTCTTGCTAATGACCTACTAGTTGCATTCAGGTGTGCTGCAGCAGGGACACATGGAAACGTCTCAGGCCCTCGAGGACTGGAGGTCGAGACCCCTGCCGTGAACAAAAGAATCAGGAAGAACGTGACAGTTTTAAGCTGACACTGAAGATAACCTGCTCCCCACCGGGTGTGATCAGTGTAGGTTGCCATGGCGACTTAACCACGCTCGCTAACCCATTCATCTCCTCATAGACGAGCCCAGGACAGGTCTCCCTGCCTGCTGACCAATCAGATCTCTGGAGGACCCCTCAGTGCAGGTGGGAGGGCTGAAGTCTACCTGAAGAGCCTCAGTGAGAAACTTTGACTGTTGTCTGAAAGCACCTTTACAATCCTTTTACGATGATTAAATCAGAACACCTGCGTTTGTGAAAGCCTCGCACATTAAACACTCATTTATTATAATCCATCAGGTCAGCCTGTGTTGATCTGCTCACTGATGCTGCGGGGGAGGGGCTAAAACGAGCCCTGATAACGAACCAAAGCAGAAATAACAGAACGTTTGTTTATTTGTTCAAAGAGCTTGGAGCCGGCTGGAGTCAAACATCACCCGATTAATGAAAGAGTTTATTCAGCGTGTTTCCTTCACCCTCAGAGGAGCTCAAACCTGTGACGTCAGGGGGCGGAACCAGGTGAGGAAGTTTGACGTTAGCGGGTCTGTCAGTTTTCGTATTGTGAAAAATAAACAACAGAACCAGAAGCTCGCTCACGTTGGACCGGACCTGTGTGCGCGTCCCCGCCGACAGTCGCGGGCTTCGTAGGTGCGTACAGGCGGATGAGCTCGTCCTCGCGCTCCACCATCACTCTCTCCACCAGCACGAGGATCTCCTCCGCCGCCGCCGCGAGCCGCTCCGTTACTGCCGCGCGGAGGAGCCGCAGGTGCGCCATGCTGACCGGAAGAACCCGAAAACAGCCGAAAACAGGCAGCAGCCGCCGGATTTTAGTCCCTGCAGCGCACTGCGGCTGCGTCAACAGCAGGAGACGGAAGTTCCGCTTACACTTCACAATAAGAGCTTATATTTGTATATTTCTGTTACTTTCCTGCAGCCTTGAATATTTTTTTAAGTTATTTTATATGTTTTGTGCATTTGAAATGTTTTTCTAGCAGTCTCAAGTCTCTCTCTCTCTGTGTATGTGTGTGAGAGAGAGAGACCTTTTTTTTGTTTTCTCGTTCTTTTCGGTTAAAGCACACAGAGGCGCTGTGTGCTTTAATAAATCCAACTCGTCCTGCAGCAGGAAGAGGACGAAGACTTCATTTCATGACACAAATCAAACAGACTTTAGCTGAAACGTTGACAAGCAAAAGTCTAAACTCTTGTGACGATGCAGGGCGATTTAAAGTGTTGCTTATGTGTGTTTGTTCTCTAAATAGCATCATGTCTGCTTTTATGAGCTGCTTTTAGATTTGTGAGCCATCAGTCCTCTGATATATCAACCAATGAAGGTGCTGATGTACTTTTTCATTGTATTTTAGTAAAGTTAAAGTTGGGGCTTCATTGTTTGTCTGCACTGTCTCTCACCTGGATGACGGAGCATGCATCAAGACGTTTGTCTGCACTACTTTTATTGACGATGAACTGAGGTGCTGACAGCAACCATGACTCATAGACATCGGTTTTAAATATGGATCATTTCATAGTTTTTATTGGGTTATAAACTCAGTTTCACTGTGAGGTCAAAGGAGCTTGCAAAGAAAAGCGTCTGGACTTCTTTAAGTTACTTGAAGACGTTTCACCTCTCATCCGAGAAGCTTCTTCAGTTCTAAGGTCAAATGGTGGAGAGTTTCACTGTGAGAGCTGACTGACGACGGCAGACAGAAGCAGGTGAGTGTGCTGGTGTCAGTGATGAGTCTTTATGATAAAGAGTTTTATGTAAAACAGCTCTCTCTCTGTTTGCTTCTTGTCTCGGTGTGTGGAGCAGCAGCCTGGTTTTCCTGTCCGTGCTGAATGATGCTGCTTCAGTTGGTGGACTGTCTCTCTGTGTGGTTAGGAGGCTGAAACAACACCGTGCACATCCCTCTTCACATCTGCTCTGATTTAAACAGCTGCTCTAGTTTCTGTGGATAAATCTGATAAACATGGTTGAGCCTTAGCCCCACGTTTCATTTCTGAAAACTGGCAGGTTTACCTGAAACAGGGTAAACAGCCCTGTGATGATTCTCTGAATTATTCTTTGACACGTCGTCCCCTGAGCTGCTTTGGATGCTCACACTGTAACGTGATGTGTAATCACATGAGTGATTGAAGCTGTGCAGAGTTATGAAGGCCTGAATATATTTGCCAGCAGCATGTCCCAGCATTCATTTTCTTAAAAATATTTGTAGCATAAAGCTGCTGAAAGTCATTAAGTCTTCTTGTTTTATTAGTGTGTCCTGCTGAGTCAGCGCGCAGACACCAGTCTCTGTTTGCTGACACATCAGTGTCGTATCAGGTTACTTTGCTCTTTCCTCCTGTTCCTCTTTTTTACGCCACCATGTCCAGCATGGAGGTGTGGTGCTGCTTTCTGATTGGCTGGACTGTGGCTGGTCTGACGTGTGAAAGCCTCCTGCGGTAAAACATCCTTGTTTAAAAGCTTTTTCAGAGACTCTGGAGCTCCCTGATTGTTTACCAGGAGATGAAAGCATGACCAGCTTTTAAATCAAACTTTATTCAGTCTTAAAACCTGCTCTGAAACAAACAGGAGGCAGTAACCTGCAGCCAGGTTTAACCCTTAGAGTCCCCCGAGAGCAGCAGTGCCCAGCCTTCCACCTTTCTACCTTTAAAACCCGCCTTCCAAATGGCTGGCTTTTAGCTAGGCTTTAGCTTCAGCCAAGTGGAAGCTAAATTGGCTAGTCATTCATATGTAAATTAGGTTGTTATCTGGGAATTCTGGAGGGAGGGGAGTGGGGTAGACTTGTAGTCAAGACCGCCTAATCCGAGACCAAGACAAGACCAAGACCAGAGGGTATCGAGACCAAGACAAGACCAAGACCAAGACCAAGTTGAGACGAGACCAAGACCGAGACCGAGTCGAGTCGAGACGAGACCAAGACCGAGACAAAAAAAGTCTTTAAACTGCAGCCAGATGCTATTCTATATACATATTCAGGACACCTTAAACGAGTTTTTTAATTAAGCAGCAAGGCAGAACAAAGTCGGGGCTGTATCAAGACACAGGGACTAAACCCCAATTCAACCAGACCCAAAACTGATCTGGAATTAAAACAGGACTACAACAGTAACCAAGACAGAACCAGAATCAGAACTAGATGATAGTAGCACTAAAA